GTCTATGTGTCCCCATTGCTGTCAAGTTAAAGTTCCCAACCTCTCAATAGGGCAGGGGCTTCAAGACCTGCTTCTAAGCACAACGTCATCTCTTGCCATCCCTTACCTTGTTACCCAGAGAGAACTAGCAACCACCAGCTCACTGTCCTCACCTGTGGCTCTTCCTTGTCATGTTTCCCTTGCCTTGAACACTGTTCTGCCAATACACTCGGAACTTGGTTCAGACACCATTTCTTTCCCGAAGTCCCTGGCCAGGTTAGCCATCTCCTGCAGACACCTATTGCATGCTTATCAAGCAAACTGCTATGGCCTATTTCTAAAAAAGATTTATTTTATTATGTGTGTGGTTGTTTGGCCTGAATGTTTATCTGTGTGGATGTGGTGCTGGAAAAGGGCACTGGATCCCTTGGGACTGGGGCTCTACACAGTTGTGAGCCATCACGTGCGTGCTGGGAATCTGTCTCTGAAAGACCAACCAGTGTTTTTATTGTTTCTTTTTCGAGACAGGGTTTCTCTGTAGCTTTGGAGCCTGTCCTGGAACTCTCTCAGTACACCAGGCTGGCCTCGAACTCACAGAGATCCACCTGCCTCTGCCTCCCCAGTGCTGGGATTAAAGGCCTGTGCCACCACTGCCAGACTCGACCGGCTTCTTGAAGGCGGACTGTGGACCTCATAGAGCCTGGCAAAGAATCACTGTTGATGAGTGTTGAATAGAGAGAAGTGAATGTTTGTGCAGAGGCTAGACCACCACCTAGCAGGATGCTATAAAGGGGAGTGGAAGATTCTAGTATTCCTAAATTCCAACGTTCAGCATTCTCTAAATTTTGGCTGAAGATGAGGACTACAGCTTTCCTCCACAGACAGCCCACTCCCCAGGCTAGCCACTCCCGCCCTGTGTCCTCTGCGCGTTTCTTTTCAGGGAGTCACACGTACATGTTCTGAACATCACCCGGAAAGCAATTTACAAGATAGAATTGCTGGTCGATGTGAGCCTGGCAGTCCCAGCGAGCTCGGAGTATTTGTGTTTGTGCGTCAGCTCACAAGCCTTCAGCCCTGCTCCGCGTCCTGGGGGTGGGGGCGGGGATTCTGTCTCCAACGGTGGGTTGTTAGGTTCCAAAACAGGACTTTGACCAGCCAACCCCAGTGAAAACCTGCTCAGGGTGAGCGAATTCAAACCTGAAAAGCTGAACTCGGGTGGGGGTGGGAGCTTTATGGAGCCTGTGATATACAGGCGGCAGCTCATTCTGTTCCACCCGTGTCCATCCCATAGACACGGGGTCCCGGGGAGCAGATCCTACCAGATTCCTGGGCTCTGGTCTGTGTGGGGTCTCTGACCTCTGTGACCAGAGTCCACAAAGCTTGTCTTTGTTCTTCAGGGCCACTTGTGCTGTGAGGGAGGTCCCAGGGTAGCAGCCGCAGCAGCGGCGGCGGCGGCGGCGGCAGCAGCAGCTGGAATTCGTTAAACATGCAAATCTAGGGGACTCGCTTCAGCCCTGCAGACTGAGGCTGGGGTGAGGCGTGAAGACCAGCAAACTGCGTTTTGTTTATGAGCCCTCACACCGGGTTTGGGTACGGGCCTGTAATTCCAGCTACTCAGGAAATCAAAGCAGGAGGGTCACAAATTCAAGGCTCGCCTGGAAAATGGTCCCTGGCACAAGAAAAGTTGGAGGTGTAGGGTGTGTGCGGCCCTGGGTTCCCCCCTCAGCACCCAAACCAAACCCAAAGCCAGAGCTGACTCGGATGCAACCAGAAACTCTAGAACTGCTCCGTCAGACTGATGAGGAGACCCCCCACCCCTTACTTCCTTGCATTCTTTGGGTTTGCCACTGTCTCTCCCTCTTTGTAAACAGCCAGACAGGCACCAGCAGATTGTTGCACTGTAGAAAACATTCCGAAGAAAAAAAACCAAAGTAGTCACTGATGGGGTTATCAGGACAGAAAATCTGTCCTGCAAATAATAATCAGTGGCTAAACAGCAACTGTGCCCCACGCTCTACATCTACACACACACACACACACACACACACACACACCACACCACACCCTGTGGGGAGTCCTCTTTAAGAACTTGCAGTTCCTGGGCTACACAGGGCTTTTCTCACTGATTTGGAACAGGCTGTACTCTGTCCCTATCGTCTTCGGAGTCTGCCTGGCCTAATGAGTCAGCTTAGACATCTTTGCTCCCTCCTGTAGCATGGGGGCCACCAGAAGGCCAATTGCCTTTTTTGGGGTGTCTACCTCAAATATCTGAGCCCCCAAACAGCAGGAATACCCTTTGTTTTTAGCAATTGTACAGGTCCTGGTTTGGTAAAGACGTCACGGAGTACATGTTTAGTGGACAAAGGTGTATTGGCTGTGCTGAGAATACCGCACCCCTCAAGGGGACGGGGCGGGGGTGGGATGGGGAGAAAAACCCAGTCTTGGGTGCTTCCCACTTCATCCTGTGTGTTTTGTTGACTGAGGGACCTGCGCACAGCCGTCTAAGAACAACCGTCTCACTGTTGCCAAACCCAGCACAGGGTCATTACCACAGTGGAGTGTCAAGAGGAGCTTTCAGAGGCTACAGGGTCTCTCTGGTCGGCCTGACAATCCCAGGCAAAGCGAAAGCCACTGCCAAGTCCGGAATGCAGTCAGGAGGGGTGGCAGTGAGCTTCTGCCTTGCAGCTTCCGGCTCGCTCTAGCTATCTAGCTGGTAATAAAAGCAAAATGTTAGAGGCAAATAAATAATAATGAATAAAAATAATGTAAGGCACTTCCCCCTTTTCCAACGTTTCGTATTTCCTGGAATAAATATCTTCCCCTGTGCCTGAGGAACAAGCTATTACTATTCTATTTGCTTATGAGAGAAACTGAGGCACAGGTTACCTCACAAGTGGCAGAGTCAGGACTGTAACCGGATGTTTGACTCCATCATTATTGTTGGTTTGTTTGCTTGTTTGTTTTTTTGAGACAGGTTTTCTCTGTGTAGCCCTGGTTGTCTTGGAACTCACTCTGTAGACAAGGGTGGTCTCGAACTCACAGATATCCACCTCTGTCTCCCAAGTGCTGGGATTAAAGGTGTGCACCACCATCCAGCCTATCATCACTGTTTATAATGACCGTGGTACACTGAAGCATATTCATTTGGTATTTTATTTATATTATGCATATATGTATATATATATTTAAAGGTTTATTTGTGCTTTTGTATATGTATGTAAGGAGCCTGAGGAGGCCTAAAGAGGGTGTCAGGTCCTCTGGAGAGCAGCAGGAACAGGCTGCTTATGGAGGTGGCTACTAGAAGTGGAACTCAGGTTCTTGGAAAAAGTAGGAAGTACTCAGAACTGCTGAGCTATTTCTCCAGGTCTATTTTTTTTTTTTTTTTTTTTTTGGTGTTTTGAGACAGGGTTTCTCTGTGGTTTTGGAGCCTGTCCTGGAACTAGCTCTTGTAGACCAGGCTGGTCTCGAACTCCCAGAGATCCGCCTGCCTCTGCCTCCCGAGTACTGGGATTAAAGGCATGCGCCACCACCGCCCGGCTCCAGGTCTATTTTTGTTGTTGTTGTTTCTTACATACATAGTTTTGGCTGTCCTGGAACTCATTGTATAGATCAAGATGGCCTCAGACTTACAGAGATCCACCCGCCTCTGCCTCCCAAGAATTAGTCAGAGCCATTAGATTTATTCATTTTATTTTATGTGTGAGTATTTTGCCTGTATGTATGTGTGTACACCACCTGTATGCTTGCTGTCTACAGAGGTTAGATGAGGGCATCAGAATTTGAGTTACAGAGGGTTGGAAGTTACCATCTAGGTGCTAGGGCTCAAGGCCAGATCTTCAACCCAGGTTGAAGAGCAGCAGTGCTCTTAACCACACCATCTCTCCAGCCCCTATTTCATGTGTGTATATATGTATGTACGTATGTATTGAGACAGGGTTTCACTATGTGGTTCTGGCTAGATTGGATCTTGCTACATAAACCAAGCTGGTCTTGAACTAGAGATCTACCTATCTCTCTATTTTTACTTTTAGTAATGTGGTGTCTGTGTGTGTGTGTGTGTGTGTGTGTGTGTGTGTGTTTGACCCCAGCCATCGTGCAAGTGTGGCGGTCAGTCAGAGGACAGTTTGGAGGAATCTGGTCTCTCCTTTTACCATGTGGGTTCCAGGGATCGAACTCAATCCACCAGGCTTGGCTGCAAGTCCCTTTGCTTGCTGAGCCATTTCACCAGCCCTCACTTGCTCTTTCTTTCGTCTGCCTGAGAAACTCTGATGGTGGCGCCCTGTACCGTACTCCCTCCCATTTTGTGAGCTCATCAGTAGCTCACTCCAGGGCAGGTGGAGTGACGGACAGGTAGATTTACCCCTTTCAGTGTGGCTCTCCATCCCAGGGACTTTTATGAATACCTCCTCTGGGGCAGAGACCCACATGAAGGTCAGAACTTCTCAGAAGGGCTCCCTGAGTCTCCACAGGGAGTTTCTGGATTGTGTGGTATTGCTACTCCCCTGCTCCCAATCGATGACTCACATCCAATTTCTGTTGGTCCTAAGTAGGTCAGGCCAAGCAAGACAGCTGGGTCCATAACCAGACCTGGGTGCTTTTGCTGGGAAAAGCTTTCATTTAATCTTCTAGACTCCAACCGGACGGTGGTGGCACCTGCCTTTAATCCCAGCACTCAGGTGGCAGAGGCAGGCAGATTTCTGGGAGTTCAACGTCAGCCTGGTTTACAAGAGCTAGTTCTTTTCTTTTTTTTTTTTTTTTTGATTTTTGAGACAGGGTTTCTCTGTAGTTTTTGGTGCCTGTCCTGGAACTAGCTCTTCTAGACCAGGCTGGCCTCGAACTCACAGAGATCCTCCTGTCTCTGCTTCCCAAGTGCTGGGTTTAAAGGCGTGCACCACCACCTCCTGGCTACAATAAATAAATAAATAAATCTCTAGACTCCAATGTCTCTTTAGCCATTCCCACCCTCACCTTAAAAAAAAAAAAAGACTCAGAAAGGGTGATATAGGACATTTATTGGATGTTTAAGGAACTGATCCACATGGGTCAGGGGTGGGGACAGAGGCCTCTTCAGGGCTGCCTGGAATGTTGCTAGCAGTCACCAGGGCCATGAAGTGGTGCTGGAGGGGACATCTGGGGCCCACGGGCAGCCTTTCATTGCTTTCCAGTCGTGAGTTCAAGGAGTAACTCTGCCTGGGAGAGTTTGCCCCTGGCACCTCCATGGGGATTGCTGTGCTCAAACCTTGATGGTCACGTGACATCTCCTTAGCGCCTGAAAAACAGCAATCTTGAGGTGGCATCCTCCCGTAGCCCTTTATCCAGCAGTGTTACACCCCTGGCCAACTTCTCTGCTGATGACCCGAGCACCTCAGAGTGTTCATCGTCTTCAGCGAACCATTCACACAGCAAATATTTAACACTAGACAGCATTGCGCCTATGTTTCTCCTTAGTAAGGGATGCCATTTCTAGGGGAGAAAGAGCAGACCTTCACCATGGCCCTAGGAAGCCTAAAAGCCATTAAAAAATTGCAAGTCCATTTTTTGGAGGAAGACACAGGCTTGTTATACAGCCAACATGCAGAGGAGCCCGGCTGTTTGTAAAAACATCTGTTGTTCTCTGCTTGAAGAACAGAGACCTGCTGGTGGTAGTGGTGGTGGTGCACGCCTTTAACCCCAGCACTCTGGAGGCAGAGGCAGGCTGATCTCTGAGTTCGAGGCCAGCCTGGTCTTCAGAGCAAGTTCCAGCCAGGACTATACAGAGAAACTCTGTGCATATACACCACACACACATGTGCATATACACCACCACACACATGTGCATATACACCACCACACACACGTGCATATACACCCTCACACAATGTGCATACACACCCCCACACACATGTGCATACACACCATCACAATGTGCATATACACCCTCACACAATGTGCAGGCTGATCTCTGAGTTCAAGGCCAGCCTGGTCTTCAGAGCAAGTTCCAGCCAGGACTATACAGAGAAACTCTGTGCATATACACCACACACACATGTGCATATACACCATCACACACATGTGCATTTGCACCACTACACAATGTGCATATACACCACCACACAATGTACATATACACCCCACACAGTGCATACACACCCACACACACATGTGCATATACACCCCTCCACACGATGTGCATACACACCCACACACACATGTGCATATACACCACCACACACATGTGCATATACACCACCACACACATGTGCATATACACCCCCACACACATGTGCATACACACCATCACAATGTGCATATACACCACCACACACATGTGCATACACACCACCACACACATGTGCATATACACCCCCCACACATGTGCATATACACCACCACACACATGTGCATATACACCACCACACACATGTGCATATACACCACCACACACATGTGCATATACACCCCCACACAATGTACATATACACCACCCCACACATGTGCATATACACCACCCCACACAATGTACATATATACCCCAACACACATGTGCATATACACCCCCACACAATGTACATATACACACCACCACACATGTGCATACACACCACCACACACATTTGCATACACACCCCCACACACATGTGCATACACACCCCCACACACATGTGCATACACACCACCACACACGCATACACGTGTGCATGTCCACCACCACAGGTGCATATACACCACTGTAGGAGCCCGCTACTACAAAGTCAGCTAGAGTACCTGGGATGAGGGTCATTAAAGTCTAGGGAATGTCAGATGGAAGAAAGAGAGACGGAAGACACAGGATAGAATTGGGAGGTCTGTGTGGTCATGTCAAAACAGGCAAACAGCTCAGAGTTTATTTTAGAACTTATAATAATACACAAAGACAGAACAAAGCACGGCACAGTCAGTCAGCCTCTAACCACAATTGCATTCCTGTCCTTGAGTGAGCAGTTGCAATTTCTATCTCCATGTCCCTGAGGTTTGGCATCTGAAGTATTCTTTCTGCTAGATAGTGTGCTCTTTTCTCATGGGCAAAATGCTCTTTCCCCTGGGCTTAATCAGAACTTTCTCACAGTCCTCAAGGATGCAGGCAGAGCAGGCAGGCTTGAACACAAATGACTTCTTCAAGTCAGAAATGACTCCAGATGGAAACCAAGTCACACATGGGCTGCCACACACCACTACACATGAGCATATGCGTCACCACATGTGCATATATGCCACCACACATGGAAAAAGAAAATAGTAATTAATTAAAATGAGAGCTACTTAGAGCTGGGGGTTTAGCTCAGTGGTAGAACACAAGTTTAACACACATGGGGCTGTAGGTCCAATCCTCAGCGCAAATGAAAGAGGCACACGCTTAATTGATAATGCCACATACTTCAGACCGACCAGGTACCATGTAAACATTATCTCTAATTTTTTCCAAAGGTTTCTTTACAGATTCAATTTGTTTAACATTCGAGTCTGGGCTGGAGCCACCACCTGCCAGTAACCTGCCAAAATGACAAACACAAAGGGAGAGGGAAGAGACACCTGATACGTGTCCTCTGCACGTTTTAGAAGATACGTGTCCTCTGAACGTTTTAGAAAGCCTGGGGTTGGCCTTTGGCTCTATGTTTGTGAATCTGCAAGAAAGGGACATTGTTGACATCAAGGAAATAGGTCCCATTCAAAAAAGGCGTGCCCCACTGACTTTACCGGGCCAACAGGAAGAGTCTGCGGTATCACCCAGGATGCTGCTGTTGAGCTCATGAAGCAGTGCCAGGGCCAAGAAAGCATTCTGAATGGTGAAGGGAAACGGCCAGAAAAGGAAGGAGATGCAGGAGAAGGATGTCTGGGCTCAACTGAAGAGCCAGCCCATTCTGCATCTCTGTGAGTCGGCGGCAGTGAAACCGAAGCTTCCGGAACCTGTTCCCTATGAACTCATGGCTTAATAGGTATTAAGAATAATAATAAAAAGACCTCTAAATGATCCAAAAAACCAAAAACAAGGAGCTGGAGAAATGGTTCAGCAGTTAAGAGAACTTGCTTCTGTTCCAGAGGACAGAATTAGGTTCCCAGCATCCACACTGGACAGCTGTGGGTCTGTGACTCCAGCTCCAGGGAATCCCACTCTCTCTTCTGGCAGCCGTAGACACTGCATCTACAAGCACAAACCCACACACAGACACACCCATATAAACATAACTGAAAGATATTTTAAAAACCAAATAAATAAACTGGGTGTGGTGGTGCATGCCTTTAATTCCAGTACTCAGGAAGCAGAGGCAGGTTGATGTCTGTGCATTTGAGGCCAGTCTGATCTACAAAGTGAGTTCCAGGATAGTCAGGGCTACACAGAGAAACCCTGTCTCGATTAAAAAACAAATAGGGCTGAGGGATGGCTCGCTCACGACCAAAACAAATGAATAAGCAATAAAAAGAAATAAAAGCAAGACAGGTGGCGGTGGTGCACATCTTTAATCCCAGCACTTGGGAGGCAGAGGGAGGCAGATCTCTGTGAGTTCTAGACAAGTCTGGTCTAAGGAGGGAGTTCCAGGACAGCCAGGACTACACAGAGAAACCCTGTCTTGATTTAAAAGCAAGCAAGTAAGCAAGCAAATAAATAAACAAAAACAAAGGAGCTGTGCCATGAGGACAGAAAACTAATATTAGATCCAGGGTACCCGTCCACCTGTCTCCAAAGACCTCCACCATCAGACCCTAGTCCCCGAAGGCCTCAGTTTGTGCCCGTGGTGACCAGCCTAGTCAGGGTTTGAAAGGTTCTTTCCTGCTCGGAGATGAGTCACGGCTAATCACTGATACCTGTGACTAACTATGTGATTCACAGATGTTACCCTACGTGTGTCATCAAAACACAGTGGGATCTGGGGTGACTGAGCTCTCCAAGAGTGCGGTGGTGGTGGAAGCTGTCATGAAGTTTGAGGCAGCTGTCATAAAGAACTGTCCGTGGCCTGAAAGGCAAAGGTCTGCCCGTGAGCTAGTCTGGGGACTGGAGTGCCTGACCGCTCTTCTTGGGGCTCAAGCGTCCTTCCTGTATGACAGGAGCATCAGAACTGGGTTTCGGGTTCCCTGGGGGTTCTGGACGAGAATGGCTGATTGATGAACTCTTTCCAGAGGAAAGTGAAAGCAAAAGTTGGTTTTTTTTTTCTTCTTCTGATTTTTCTGGCTTGGGGTGGGACACCATCTCCATCCTCACTGCCCTTGTCTGGTCTCCAGAAAGAATGGGTAGCAGCTGCCTGCAGAGAAGTGGAGCTGTAATGTGTTTGAAGTTCCCAGGACTGGGCAGAACACAAGAGCAGGACCTCAGTCACCATTCTGATCTAGCTGGTTCCTCCCAAAGAATCCACTAAGGAAGTTGTGTGTGCTTTGCATGTGTGAGGCCTTGCATTAGATCCCCAGCCCAGGGGGGAATGAGAAGAGGAAGGGAGGGAGGGAAAGAGGAAAGTTTCTGTCTCTATTGCAGGTCAGGTTTGGGAGATAGAATGGGATGGGGTGGTGGCAGAATACTAGGCATGGGGAAGAAACCGTCAGAGGTGGCTTTTTCATAACCACTTGCCAAGGCACCTACCACACCACCTTTGCCCCATCATTCAGAGAGATAAACACACACACACACACACACACACACACAGAGATATACACATACACACATATTCACACTCACAGACATACACACACAAACACACACAGACATACAGACACACAGACATACAGATACACATAAACATATGCAGACATACACACACATAGACACACACATACACAGACATATACACACAGACATAGAAACACAGAAATACCCAGACACACACATGCACAGACACACATACACACAGACATACACACACAGACATATACATGCACAGACAGACAGACAGACAGACACACATATGCACACACACAGTACAGTGATTGCACTTGAAAGCCTGGGAGATCTGCCTGGCGTCCCAAACACACACGCTCACTCTCTGTGGGGATTTGGTCACTTTCCCTGCTAAGTCTTGCTTTTTTTTTCTCCTGTAAAATGGGAACCATGATCTCTCCTGTCTTACCAAAGAGCAAGACAGCAAAGCAAATGGAAGCAGGAGACTATAAAGGGGAGACGATCTGGTAAAAACAAACAGTGTGTGTGTGCGCGTGTGTACACGTGTGTATGCGTACATACACACATACATACGCTGGCTTAGTGTTGTGGGTATAGAGGAAAGGGGGGGGGGCAACACAGTGGAGACCTAGGGACTAGACCTGCGATTGTTCAGATGGCAGAGGCGAAAGCAATCATTTAGTAAAAGGTCAACGGATGCATTTTCCATCTTTGAAAAATGAGAAAGAAACAAAAAGAGTATGTGCTGTCCCAAACCTTGGTGACTAAATAACCCGGCTGGTTGCTGAACACAGAAAAGCAGGAAGGTGGTCTCCATCTCAATTGTCAAGGACAGGCTATATGATCTCTAAGCCAGAAAGGCTGGGGTGGTAGTGGGGGCGGAGGATAGAAAGACCCTGAACAGCCACATCCTGGGCTTGACACAAAGAGGACAGGACTTGAGAGGCAGAGAGGCATGTTGGAATCCCAGGACCACAGCTTGCAAGCTGGGAGCCCTTGGGCATCTCATCCAGCATCTCTGAGACCTGGCTGTCCCAGCTGTATGTGAGTGACATTCATCTCACCGGGGCAGTGGGGAAGACTAGGTGAGAGGGTACAAGCGCAGTTTCAGAGTGGTATCTGGCGCACAAGAGGGGCTTCCCTTTCTCAGAACATGGGTAAAGGGAGGGAGAGATGGAGCTGGCCAGTCACTCAATCACTAGGTGACTTTGAACCTGTTTCCTCACCTGTACAATGAAAGTGGTGGTAACTGTCCTTGCCCAGTGAGCTTGCAGAAGAAACTGGAGAGTACATTCAGGGAGGGTTTGTCTCTGTAACTCCTGTATAAATCTCACTACCCCAGCACATCAGTTCATTTAGCTCCTTGCACTGATAAACTTTTAGCTGGCTTCCTCTGTGACAGGCTGTCCTGATATCTATTGTATCGTCTTCATCTAAAGGAGTCATCTCACAAGGATGGACCATCAGACATAGAACTGCTGGGTTACAGGGCACACATGTTTTTAGCATAAGAAGATCATTTCACGAAGTAGTTGAGTCAATTTATATTCCTGCCAGCATCGTGTTATATTTCCCATTTCCCCTCCAAATTTCTCACTATTACTGTGACCCATCTCTGAACTTCTGTCAGTGTTTTATTTCTTTTTATTTTACATGTGTGTTAGTTTGCTTGTACATGTATAGGTGTACCACATGTGTGCATTACTCTCAGAAGGTATCAGATCCCCTGGCATTAAAGGAGCCTGTGAGCTGTGTGTAGCGTGACTAATAAAAACCCAGAGAGAAAGCCGGACGGTGGTGGCGCACGCCTTTAATCCCAATACTGGGGAGGCAGAGACAGGCGGATCTCTGTGAGTTCGAGACCAGCCTGGTCTACAAGAGCTAGTTCCAGGACAGGCTCCAAAACCACAGAGAAACCCTGTCTCGAAAAACAAAACAAAACAAAACAAAAACCCAGAGAGAGATTGGGGTTCAACCTGAAGATCAGAAAAGCAAAGCAGTCAGCCACTGGAGAGCTCATACCGTCTTACCTCTAAGAAATCCTTAGACTGAAAGATATTAATCGTGCTGCAACTGTGAGTGTTCTCTTTTCTTTTAAGTTTATCATTGTTTTCTTTAAAACCATGTGTGTGTGCTTGTGTGTGTGTGTGTGGTGTGTGTGTGTGTGTGGTGTCTGTGTGTGTGTGGTAACACCTCTGTTGGAGTCAGATCTCTCCTACCTTACACAGGTTCCAGGGATTGAAATCAGCTGTCAGGCTTGCCCAGCCCAGCCAGTGGCTTTATGTGCTGAACCATCTCAGCAGTCCGAAAGGTCTGTCATTCTTGAACTGCATTCTCCTGACTATTAATCTCTTCATGTGCATTGTGAATTTTGTTGTGCTATGGCTGTTTGTTTGTTTGTTTGAGATAGTCTCATAATTCCAGGCTGACCTATAACCAAGAGAAACAGTGAACTAACTACTGGTCCTCCTGTTCTTTTCTTCTTTCAAAACAGGTTTTCTCTGTGTAACTCTGGCTGTCCTGGAACTTGTTCTATAGACCAGGCTGGCCTCGAACTCAGAGATCTTCCTGCTTCTGCTTGGAGTGCTGGGATTAAAGGTATACACCACTACCACCACCCAGCAATCTTCCTATTTCTACCTCCCAAAAGGCTGGTATTACAGGCATGTGCCACCACACCAGGCTTGTATTTGGCTTTTATTATGATTATACTTTTCTCATTTGTTTAAAGGTGTGTTTCTGTATTCTGGAAATCAGTCCTGTCTTATTTTATATGCAGTGAGTCCCACTTATCCACAGTAGTTACGTATTATAAAGTTCCCACAAATGCTGAGTTAGTAAATACTAAAGCACCACTGAAACAGGCTTGGTGGCAACTTGGTGTTGGAGGAAGGAGGATCAGGAGTTCAAGGTTATCCTTGGCCTACGTGATGAGTTACAGGCTAGCCTGGGCTGTATGAGACTTTGTCTTCTAGGAAGAATATAAGATGAGGTTTCTGTGTGCCTTTGGTCATGACATTTTTGTCAATCAATACTTAACATTTAGGTGCTGTTGATTAAAGACACCTGATTTAATATATATATCTTTTAAAAATGTTTATTTTATTCTTATGTGTATGGTTGTTTTGCCTGAATATATGTCTATGTACCATGGGCACACCTGGTGTTCTGGGAGATCAGAAGAGGGTATTGGATCCCCTGGAACTGAAGTTATAAACAGTCGTGAGCTGCCACCTGGGTGCTGGGAAATCTAACCCAGGTCCTCTGGAAGAGCAGCCAGTAGTACTCTTAACTGCTGAGTCATCTCTCCATTCCCATGATTTATTATATATTTTTGATTTATTAACATTGCACTCAAGTCCTTAGGTCAGACATTTAGCATTCTGTGTTCTTCACGAAGCACACAGTGTTCTTATGCTGCGGGGCACTAGACAGCGCTTGGGAACTGTATCCAGAGGCATTTCAACAGAGCGACTCTCAGTGAACATCACAAACATGGAACAAAGTGTCTCTAGACAGACACAAAGAGGACACAAACTTACAGAGTGTAGCCTTGAATGACATTATCTGGGACATGTGCACCTCAAATTTTTGCCACTCTGTACATAACCTCATAAGTGTCTCAAGTATTGATTTTGAGGTTACAAATACATTTTAGCAAGTAAGCAAGTTCAAAAATATACAACCTGAGAATCAGATTACTATGAAGATAGATGTTTCACACACACACACACACACACACACACACACACACGCAATCTTTGTAGTCCATCTTTTTTTTTTTTTTTTTTGGTTTTTCGAGACAGGGTTCTGTCCCAGAACTAGCTCTTGTAGACCAGGCTGGCCTCGAACTCCCAGAGATCCGCCTGCCTCTGCCTCCTGAGTGCTGGGATTAAAGACGTGCGCCACCACCGCCCGGCAGTCCATCATTTTTTTAACTTCACATATGATATCTTATATCATTTGTATCTGATTTAGGCAAATTAATCAATTTATTCTTCAGCTCAGGTTTTTTCCCTATCCCTGACTCCACAAGGAGACAGATGAACCTTTCCACTTTCAACCATCTTCAGAATCCTAGAAGGGTTTAGGGCTGTCACTTGTTGCATTCTTAAAGAAATTTTTAGAAAATTAATCTCTTACAAATGACAACATTCGGAGTTCTCCAGCTTTCTCTGAGACGGAGGAATTACCCACCTGCCCTTCTACCTCCCTGATGCTCACCACCTTTGCCTCTGCTGCTCAAGTTCCTCCCCTACCTTGCTGGCCCTAGTCTTTTTGGCACTGCCACCAGTGATCCTGCTACTGCACAAGTCTCGGTCAGCCCTGCCCACACCTTTATCCACCGCCTACTCACCTTGCCTTCCTTCCTCTGTCCCACCTCATCATCGTCTTCACCGACTCAAGGCTGGTTAAAGCAGACACAGTCGGTATCAGGCAGAGTTGTTCTTACACGCCTGCCTAGCCCTTGTGTAGCAGGCAGAAGAGCGTGTCTCTGAGAGAAGAAGCCCTGGCTGGACCTCATTTCATTGTCAGCTGGGACTCCTTAAGTGAGTCTCCAGCCCTCTCTCCGCCCCATTCTCTCACCTGTGACGTGGAGACAACACCCACCTTGGCCGCTCACTCGTCGGAGAACTTTTTGGCTAACCTGGGCTTGGATCTTTCGCAGTTCCTTGCCAGAGCTTATAAAGTTTGCAGTGTGGGCTTAGGCAAGGGCAACACATCTTTGTTTGTTTGTTTGTTTATTTGTTTGTTTTTGTTCCCTTCGAGGTTCCCAATGGCCCCGGGCTCGAGGAGGAATGGGTAGTCAGGACAGCAGACTATGAGAAATAAAGTCCTGTGTTCGCTTTCTGATGAAATGTTGAATTTCGAGAAACAGTAAGTTTGTCTTACCAGCTCTGTTTTGTTTGGGAGAAAGCGAAAATCAGTTTGCATCCCCTGAGGCTAGAATGTAAACACTATCTTAGAAAATCCACCACGCGTACTCTCTGTGTGAGGATGGAGGTTGAGGGTGTTCGACATCCGGATGAGGACCGAGCACACGAGGTCTGATAGGGTCAGGTCCCAGACCTCCTGAGAAGTGTGAACTTTTCAGAACACTCAGGAGATGAATGCTCTCGATCTCATTTCTCCTTTTCCTTTCTTTCACTTTCTTTTATTTCCCCCCCTTTGAGACAGGCCTCACTATGTAGGGCAGGCTGGCTCAGTCTCAGAGATCTGCCTGCTTCCACCTCCTAAACGCTGGGATTAAAAGGACACTCTCCCATACCTGGCCCTCTAGATCTCATTTCTAATTCTCCCTCCTCTGCAAAGAAAAGTTTGAGCCTGCCCATTACAAGGACACCAGATAGCTTCTCTCTTACCTGTTGTCGCTAAGCTTAAGCCTGGGTCCAGCTTCATGTGGGGCTTTGAGCTGATGAACAGGTAGCAGAGAACACACGCAGTGACGATGAAGGCTAGAAGGACCACGGCTGCTGTGGAGAGGCCCACGAGAGCGCCCACACTGGGGAGAGAAGATGACAGGGGGAGAGAGTGCTGGGGAAGGCAGAAGCCTGCATGCTAGGAATCAGCTTCAACTTTCTGGCTATATCTGAGGAATATCAGTGGGGGTCTTCTGCCTGGCTGTGCTCTCCAGCCCATTATATGTGCACACACTAACCCACGCACACATACAAATACATTCTTGCAAGATGATGTTAAGTGGAAATAGCAAGACAATACCACACATGAAGCTTAGCCCAAGCTTAACTAAAATATAGAGATTAATTCAAGGTTGGAGGGAAATACAGCAAACTACCACCAAGCTGTCTCTGGGTATAATGCAGGCTGTAGATATCCAGCCATATTCCCTTGGGTCCAATCATGGTGGGATACTCATACAGTTTCAGTTGCCAGCATCTGTAGCTCTTTGCCTGAGGACTTTCTTAGACCCAGAACAAAATTCTACTCATTGAACAAGTCAGGACTATGGGATAATTAATGCTTCCCTCCCTTGACCTGCCCTTAACCACAGTAGTGTGTACATCCCCAGCTCCTGAGTCTTCTGGGGGCGTAACTCTGAGGTAATCATTGAACGCTGACTGGCAGACACTAAGCGCTGGTTACCGCTTTGTGACTTGTTGGTAACATAATCTATCCTTGGTGTTTTCTCTCTGACTCATTTTCCCATCCTCTATCAGTGTTTTCTGGGATCACTTTCCATAAAAGACTACTTAGCTGAGTGTAATGGCGCACGCCTTTAATCTCGGCACGCGGGAGGCAGAGGCAGGTGGATCTCTGCAAGTTCAAGGCCAGCCTGGCCATAGTGAGTTCTACAATAACCAGGGCCACACAGAGATTTTTGTCTAAAAACCAAACCAAGCAAGCAGCAAAACCTCTTTGTCTCTTTGCACAAACCAACACACTCCAGCTCCCTTTTTTTGTATTCCTTTCTTCTGTCTTCCTCCATATTTCCGGCACTGGTTATGCTGTGCTTAGCTCTTGTTGATGCTGAAATGGTTATCTCGGGCCGGGATGTAGCTCACTTGGTGAAGGGCTTGCTCAACTTGCAAGTATGCGGACTCAAGTGCAGTACCCAGACCCATGTGGTGGTGTGCACTTATAATCCAAGCACTGCACAGATGGAGACAGGAGGCTGCCTGGCCCACTGACCAGCCAGTCTAGTGAGCCCAAGGCTAAGGAGAGAACTTTCCTCCAAGGAGGTGGATGTGTATCTGAGAATCACACCTGAGGTTGACTGCTGGCCCCCACGCATGCAAATGTGCATGTACAATCACACACACACACACACAGAGATAGACACATACACACAGAGACACACACACATACAGCTAGACACACACATACTCATACACAGACACATACACACAGACACATACACACACAGACACACATATACGCACACATGCATTAAAAGAACATCCAGTAATTTTCTCATCTGAGATACACTTATTGTTCACGGGGCTGCCAGTTGGTGGACCTGTGTGCAGATGCTTACCAGTGACCTCTATGAGCACCAGGATGGGGAAGTGGCCACTGGAACTTTCCAGAGAATTTTTGTGGAATGGATAAGAAGACTGGAGGATGTGTCCCTAACTGGAGGTGAGTTAGGGAGCAAATGCTGTCTCTGAAAATCACTGTCCTTGGTGTTCTGTCTGGGGACTAAAGGTATACAGAGACAGGAACAGGCTCTGAGTGGGAAACCTGGTTTCAGTACCAGACGAACTTAAACCCGTCAGCGTTGTCTAGTGGGGGGAGGCACTGTCCCCAGAGTGGGGTGAGTTCCTCATGAGAAGAAATACACACAGGACAGACTGAGCTGCCTTTCGATGAAGTCAGCACCCTGCTCTGCACAGAGGCCAAACTAGAGGCCTCTGGACTAAGGAGGTTTCACTGCGCTGACTCTGAAGGACGAAGACCCACTGTGACCCCTGAGAAGGCACTGAAGGAGCCCTAACAGGCTCCAAGATCAAGTTCTTTCCAAGGTTTGAATCCCAACTCTGCCATGCGTCAGGGAAAACACGGCTTTGCTTTTCTGATCTTCATTTGTGAATGCTGCTATCTCACCAGGTGGCCACAGTATGCTGTGAGATGGAGTTTGCACTACCTGGCCACCAACTCTGCCCTTCAGCTGCTTGCCTTCTGTCACACTCTGGCAGAAAGAAGCTGGAAGGAGGTTTTGGTAACTGGGCCAGATGGCGCAGTTATAGCAGCCGCTTCTCTACGGGATGTCTTCTTTCTGAGATGATTAGCTTTTAAAGACGGCTTTTTTTCTCCCCTTAAACTCTCTAAAAGGATACAGTGTTTACCTGGAGATTTTTTTATGCCTGCAAGAATGAAATTTCATGAAAAAGGCAAAATGAAATTTGGAACAAAACAAGGTCTCCATGCCGGCCGCAGTGACACTGTCACTGCGGGAGCTCTGTCAGAAGCACGTGGTTCAGAGTTCAGAGCACACTAATCATCCTGAGGACCTTCAGCTCTATGCTTAGCAACTGTCTTGATGTTTATGAACCATATGTTAGAACCTAGGAAGTGGGGTCAGCAGTTAAGAGTACTGGCTGCTCTTCCCGAGGACCAGCATTCCGTCTCCAGCACTCACACGACAGCTGACAACCTTCTGGGACTGCAGTCTCTGATGCCCTCTTCCGACCTCCACAGGCACTGTGTGCACAGGCACACCCAACCCCACCCCCCAGCGAAAGAACCCAGGAAGTCGCTTCACACATTGGAAACTTTCAGCTGTTTTGGGGGTCACACTGACACAGGATCTGACCTTAAAGCGCTCCCTATCCAACCCTCCACTGAAACCTGTCTGAGCCACTAAACTTGAGGAACTAAAGCATTCCATTGGGAGAAGGTTTCCAAGACAACAGGAGAGGTCCCCAGAGGTGAGTAGATAGGGAGTGATGGAAGAGAGGGAAGGATTACCACCTACTTGGGGGCTTGGGGTCTGTGCTTCTCTGTATCCTCAGGGTAGAGCACAGCAGTCAGATGACAACAGTCAGTGTATGGTTTGGGGAGAGCTGAGGACATCAGCTGTCTGTCAGAAGCCAGAAAGGTTCAGACAGTCATGGAACAGGACTAGTCTGGGTTTGGGGTCATCTCAGCTCTGTCACTTCTCAATGGGGTACTCGCAATAGCAATGTAACCCCTCTTAAGTCTCTCCATCTGTAAAATGGAGCGTTGTCTTAGGTTTTTTTTTTTTTTTTTCGAGACAGGGTTTCTCTGTAGCTTTTGGTTCCTGTCCTGGAACTAGCTCTTGTAGACCAGGTTGGCCTCGAACTCATAGAGATCCGCCTGCCTCTGCCTCCCGAGTGCTGGGATTAAAGGTGTGCGCCACCACTGCCCAGCTTGTCTTAGGGTTATGTATACATGGGAACATGTAACTCACCCTAAGCCCATCTCTGCCATCATAGTGCTGAAGTCAGGGTTCACTTTGAAACTCTGAGCTTCGCATCCCACACAGATGCGAAAGGGAACCCTTTCCTACTGAGTACCTGCTCAGTGCACTGAGCACCCCGCATTCAACACAACCACCTCACTCCCTTCTTGCACTTTGTCTTCTGGAAGGCAAGCATTTGTACTGCTCTACATTTTATATTATCTTATTGACACAGGATCTCCTGGGGACTTGAGGCTGGCCTGGCACTCACTATGTACCCCTAACTGGCCACAACATCACCCATGTTCTCTCTGTCTCAAGTCTTGCAAGTGCTGGGCTTACAAGTGTGAACAACTGTGCTTGGACTTTTCCATTTCACAAACTGGGAGGTTAGCGCCAAGGTTTGTGCCAGGTTCCGAAGAGATCACAGCCCCACACTGTTCCTGTACCTCAAAGGCAATCATCTTCCTTTAGTCTTAGCACAGTGCTAAACACAGCGAGACCTCAACAGACACTGTGCTGTTTTACATAGTGTAGACTCTGCAGCTCTAACCCAGCAGTTTTCAACCCGTGGGTTTCGACCCCTTCGGGGATCGAATAACCCTTTCACAGGGGTCACCTAAGGCCATCAGAAAGCACGTATTTACAATATGATTCATAACGGTAGCAAAATGACAGTTATGAAACAGCAATGAAAATAATTTTATGATTGGGGTCACTACAACATGAGGAACTGAGGCTGAGAACCACTGGGGGCTTGGTGATATGCTCAGTGTTAGTACTTGTCTATGATATGCCCAAGGCCCAGGGTTTGATTCTCACAAGAATGAAAGGTCCTTTTGCAGGGAATAAATGGTTTTCTATCCCCATTGCTTTGCACAAAGACACTATAGCAAGGATTACAGTGAATGGATAAATACACGGGAACAGGCTATTAGTGTGATTCCTTGGGCTTTTAGACAGCAGTCAAATGTGCAGGATACGATAGCCTGGTCGTCTGAAAATGTTTGAAAATTACACATTGAACACCTTAGAAAAACCTATCTTTGTCGTTGTAATTGGCATATATCAAGTTGCTTTCATCTCTTTCTTGGTCCTTGCCTCTCTCTGCCTTAATCACAAATCAGGACAGCAATGGGTCATTTTCCCCACGGGTAGCAAAAGAGACAGAAAGACTCAGCCGGTTCAGCAGCTAACGATGCTCTTCTCCCACCCAGAAAGCACACAGTCTTCTGCTCACACACTGTTAGGGACAGAAACTCTCGATTACCTCTTTCCCGGAGCAGACTGACGACCAGGCTCTACTTTGTGGACGAAACCTTTGGAGACTCAGAGGGATTCAGACCTACTGACCCTCAGCGCCATGCTTAGGTCTCAGGGTTGTCAGAGTTGGCCCAAGCAACCCTGTCCCCGAACAGCCAGAGAAACTAAAGTGTGTTCACCCAGACCATGCTCTGTATTGAAATGGCTGGAGCTGGCCTCTGCTCCAGCAGCACTGTGTCACACTGGACTTGCAGGGAGCTTTAGTACAAGCATAGGGTACATCTCCAGGATGCACGCAAGTGTCCAGTAGAGAGAGTGAGAGGGAGGGAACAAGCTGAGGCTAGGCTGAGATGAGGGTGGCATGCGACATCAGGTGAGGATGAAGGTTTGAGGCATGTGGGTCTAGACTAGAGCTTACTGAAGTCAATATGTGGGTTAACAGGGGGGTTTGCAGGCAGGCTTGAGGAGAAAGCTGGGGCAGGTGGCAGTTAGGACAGGGACTTCATAAAGCTGGGAATGGTGATGGGTCTGGCATCTGGGACAGCCCCCAGAAGGGTGAGCAACTGAGGGAGGACTAAGGATAGAGTTTGGGATGCCTCAGTATGTCTGAGATAGCATTTGCTGTTAGGGCAAGAGTTGGCTTGTGATTTGGGATTGGGTTGCGTGGGTGGGTGCGGGCAGCAAGAAGCTCAGAGTAGGGACAGAGGGAGAGTTTCGGGGGCAGTGCTAGTCAGGTTCAGGCACGGTTCCAAATAATGGTTGGGGTCCAAGAGTTGAGATGGGGCTTCAAGAGTGCGATGGTTAGTGATAAAGTGAGAGGAGGGTCAGTATTGACAATGGGGAGAAAGGATGGTTTGCCGTAGGGGCACTTAGATGAAAGTGGAGGCTTAGCAAGAGGCTAGCCTACAGGTAGGAAAGTGGGTTAAGGGTTCAAGGTGAGATTAGGGTCAGAGCCTGTACCTGAGCCACCACATGTAGCTGTGCTCGTAGGGGAAGAAGCTGTGCGGGTCGTCGCAGCAGTATTTGTGGTCGCGGAAGCCACAGCAGAAGACGGCAGCCGCCTCGCCCCCGGGCAGCGGGCAGCTGAAGCCGCGCACCACCTCCTGCTCCGCGCTCACGTAGCTCGAGCAAGAGCCGCTCATCTCGCCTTCTTGGACCCCCAGACGGAAGGCAGGCCAGCGAGGGACTGAGGGAGACCCAACGGATCCCGGGAAAGAGACGGGGAGGGAGGGGGCGGGGGGCAGGCAGGCAGGAAAGCGCGCAGGCAGAGGCGCGCAGAGAAAGACGCAGCAAAAGGCGTGGATGCGCGGTGAGGACGGGGCGCCCGGGGACCCGGTGGACAGGTGCGCGGGCGCGGAGGCAGGGGAGCGCGCGGGGACCCAGTTCGAGCAGAGACCTGCCTCCGTCCCCCGAAACACCACACCAGGGCTGGGGAGGCAAAGTGGACACTTGACCTCGACTGCGCGAGGTAACACCTTCCCCAGGCGCCAGGACCCTTCTCGGGGAGGTTGTGTCCTACACAGGAGACAGGCAGATGGGGTCCTCTGGGGTTGAGGAATACACTACTCTATTTAACTGGGATTTTCACTGTATAGACGGCAACTGAGTGGGGATCAAAGACAAGTCATTTATTTCCCCCAGGCTTCTGAGCCCATGGGATTTCAACCCTTCTGCTGCCTTGCTGGTTCTCAGCAAACCTCTTTCCCAGTGGGCCTCGTGTAGTCCACACTGGCCTTGCCGTCCTGATGACCTTGCCTCCCACTTCCAAATACTGTGATCCCGGGTGTGTGCCTCCACACCCCGCTCTAGTAATCTTTTAAAAGTCCTCATTTCTACCTTTTTTACCTGCATTTTCTTTCCTCTCCTGGTCCCTCCTTCACCCACAACACGGACACAGTCCCTATTGGCCAGGGACAACGGGTAAGAAGCCTTTTCCCTGCCTCAATTAGGGGCTGCAGTCTTCACAACTTGTTCCCAGACTACAAGGGCAACATTCTCATTCCTGTCTGAAGGAGCTTCCAGAGCCTGGGTTTCCTCAACGTACCCTGAGAGGGCAGACAGAAGATCACTAAGGACTTACCCAGTTTCTCAGAGCCTTAGCTGTGTGTGTGTGTGTGTGTGTGTGTGTGTGTGTATGATGTGTGTGGTGTAATCATGAATCCGAAGGGGTCTGGGTATAAGCTCAGCTGACTCCTTCCCTGCTTCTCCCTGTACTTTTTCCCCGTTGTCTTCTAAGGCAGCTCCACAGATGCTGTTGTGTTTCAAGCCCTGACCTGGGTACCTGAAAGGGTCAGATCTGGGCCTGCCCTTGAGAAATAATTTGGTGCCGGGCGGTGGTGGTGTATGCCTTTAATCCCAGCACTCGGGAGGCAGAGGCAGGCGGATTTCTGTGAGTTCGAGGCCAGCCTGGTCTACAAGAGCTAGTTCCAGGATAGGAACCAAAAAGCTACGGAGAAACCCTGTCTCGAAAATTCAAAAAAAAAAAAAAAAAAAAAAGAGAGAGAGAGAAATAGTTTGGTGGAGGAATCAGAGTGAATTCATAATGGAGAGGTCAGTGGAATAATCGACACAGGACTCGGCAGAGGACGGGGGATACCGGGATTATAGATGTGGAGGGGCTCTATGTAAAAGGACGGGGAAGGGTTTGAGAGGGTGATGACTTTGACGGTCACCATGTAGTAAGCAAAAACAATAAACAGAAAAGGAGCCAGATTTGATGGCATGTACCAGTAGTCCCAGGTATTCAGCAGGCTGAGGCAGGAGGATGGCTTGAGCCCAGGAGTTTAAGGTCAGCCAGCCAATACAGAGCTCATTTCAACAGTAAACAAAAACTTCCCTCTGGCATAGAGTACCATCTGCTTAGTATGCAGGAGGCCCCAGAGTCTGTCATCAGTACCTCAAAGCCAAGGGGAAATGTCATTATTCCCAGACAAATCTTTCCTGAGCTGTGATCACTGAAGACTGAAGAAGGTGCACCTTGACCTCCATCTACCAGAAGAAGGTGGGGGTAGGGTGGGAAATGGGAGATTGGGGGGCGGGGGAGTCCTTTGGGAAGGAATGAGGCCTCAGTGAGACTAGGTCAGCTGGCAAAACTGGGAAGACAAGTCCCCAAACCCTTTTAGGATTATGTCCCCAAGAGAAACAAGCACAATGTCACACAGTCACCCATCAGTGGCCCAAGTACAAGCGGTGGGTGCCGTGACTGTCTGACCAGGAATTCCTTTGGATTCTTGATGAAGCCTAGGGGCCTCTACTAATAATGATGTTTTTAATTGCAAAGGAGACATTATTTAGGATCATAAAGGCTGTCAGATGCATTGAATGGCAATTTAATCCTGCTGTGTAAAGTGTCAACAAGATTGCTGAGTCTACTAAGCACTATAATTTTGAAGTCATTTCTAAAGTGACAGAGCTTTTGTCATTTATTTGCATTCTAGAAGGAAGTGCTGAAGTCCAGTTGGGGCTAGTGCTAACAAAGATGTACTTCCCCCTCCAAGTTCAGACCGTTTCACTGCATCCAAGGATTCTGAGCACTTGTGGTCTTGTGCTAAAATCATCGTTCTCTGGTCTAGCTCCTTCCCTAGTGTTTGTTCCTTTGATAGACTCATTATGTTCCTTCATAATATTTTTCTGAAGACATTAATTGCTCACTTATTGTATGCCAGGCTGTGTGTGTGTGTATTGTATGCCAGGCTGTGTGTGTGTATGTGTGTAAGCATGCTCATGAGCCATGGCGCATATGACTTTTCAATCCTCCCATCATATGGATCCTGGGGCTGAAATGCATGTTGTTAGGTTTGGTGGCAAATACCCTTGCCCTCTGACTTTATTAGGATATTTATTGCTGTGAAGACACACCGTGACCACGGCAAGTTTTTGTCATCATCATCATCATCATCATCATCATCATCATCATTATTTTGGTTTTTCAAGATAAGTTTTCACTGTTTAGCTCTGGCTGTCCTGGAACTCACTTGGTAGGCCAGGCTGGCCTCAAACTCATGGAGCTCCACCTGCCTTTGCATCCTGAGTGCTGAGATTAAAGGTGTGCACCACCAATACTCTTATAAAGTAAAAAATTTATTCGGGGGTAGCTTGCTTACAGTCTCAAAGGTTTGGTCCATTACCATCACAGCGAGGAGCAGGCAGATGTGGTCCTGGAGTAGTAGCTGAGAGACCTATATCTTGCAAGCAACAGGAAGTGAACTGAGGCACTGGGTGGTATCCTAAGAATAGGAAACCTCAAAGCCCAGCCCTACAGTGACACACATCCTCCAACAAGGTTACACCCACTCCAATAAAGCCACGTCTCTTACTAATGCCACTCCCCGTGAGATTACAGGAGCTAACTACATTCAGACCACCACACCTTTGAACCATCTTGCCAACTGAAAACATCTTTCGAGGTAGGTGCTTATTTTCCCATTTTGCAGACGAAGTGACTGAGACTCGAGAAGGCTACTTGACTTTTCCAAAGCCACAAGTCCATCAGGGTTTTGTACCATTTACCCTCCCAAGATGAAGTCTGTGGGCCAAAATCTCCCATCGCCGGAAGGGACAAAGAGTGTAGGAGCGTATAGAGAGGATGGGCAGGGGGATCTCAAACTGCTGAAAACACTAATATTTATGAGCCGGGCGGTGGTGGCGCACGCCTTTAATCCCAGCACTCGGGAGGCAGAGGCAGGCGGATCTCTGTGAGTTCGAGGCCAGCCTGGTCTACAAGAGCTAGTGCCAGGACAGGAACCAAAAAGCTACGGAGAAACCCTGTCTCGGAAAACCAAAAAAAAAAAAAAAAAAAAAAAAAGAAAGAAACTAATATTTATGCTCATGCTTTCCATTGTCTCTTTACTCCTCACAACAACCTTCATCAAAAAAAATTAGCTAGTGTAGAGGTAGGCGCCCATAAGACCAGCACTTGGAAGGTAGAGATAGCCTTCCAAGGGTTGCAGCAAATTCCAAGCCAGCTAGAGTTGCATAGCAAGACTTTATCTTATTAAATTAAAACAACAACAACAAAAACAGGAGCTGGGGATAAGGTAGTAGGGATGGTGCAAGCTTTTAATCCCAGCACTTGAGAGGCGGAGGTAGGAAGATCTCTGAGTTCAAGCCCTGCCTGGTGTACATAGCAAGTTCCAGGACAGCCAGGGCTACACAGAGAAAATCTGTCTTAGAAGACAAAAGCATCCCCCAACAAAAAACAAATAAACAGCATTAGCAAAATGCATAAGTATCTATTATAAAATAATACATTTAAAATGTCAATAATTAAAAGAAAAACTGGCCCATAGTCTCTCTCTCTCTCTCTCTCTCTCTCTCTCTCTCTCTGTCTCTCTCTCTCATACCCACATACATCTTGAGACATGCACCCCCTTCCTCTGTCCCCCCACCAATCACACACTAACTTAACTTTATGAATAGGAAAACCAAATCCTAGACAGGACAAGTAAGTTGCTGAAGGAAACACAAGTAACAAGTTCTAGTCACTGCTGGGTTGCATAGCTGGGCCACTTTTTTGGAGCAGTGGCCAATTTTGCTCCAGGCAAGCACCTACCAGTTCTACTGTTAAAATTGTCAGGTCTGGTGTGTGTGTGTGTGTGTGTGTGTGTGTGTGTGTGTGTGTTTGGCACACAGAAACTGACCCTGTCCACTCCAGGTGGGGGAAACAGCTTGCTGTTCACACAGCTGGAAGGATGGGACTGTGAGCCAATCCTTAGGGAGGCAGCTTCCCCTTCCATTCCAAAATGAAACTTTGTTTCCTTATGAGAGAAGGGACAGAGCCGTGGTGGGACCTCAGCGTCCAGATCCAGTAACCAGCCAGTTTTTCTCCAACCTTTCCTCAGGTTTTCTTGGGTTTGCTGTTTGCTTTACTCGAAATGACAAAAAGACAGAGATGGACTCTGAGTAAAGTCCCCCTCCCTCCACCTCCCCACACATAGCCAGAGGGAACCACTCTGCAGAGCCTACAATTCCTGAACACTTACTGATGCTGTTTGGAATCCTTGGATAATATGTCACACAATTCCTCTGGCGCTGGTTTTCCACTTAGCCTTTTGTCTGTGGACTTTGCTCATGCTGAAGACTTTGCTGTATCTAGTTGATCCATTTTTGCTGTGGTTTAATTTTCTGTTCTCTGCTCACGTGGTGATTTGTTTAGTTCTTGGACATTTAGGTTCCTTCTAAATTTT